TTTATTATTATTTTATATAGTGTAACATTGTCTTTACAATAGCCGGTATTCAATTGAAATTTTAAGTGACATCAATATTTGAGACTCTTTATTCAATTAGGATTTTTAAGGATTTTTTTAAGACTTTAGAAATCCTGGTGTATTCAATTTAGATTTGCTAAGACATTTAAAAATCTTGAGGGTATTCAATTGGGATTTTAAAAGTCTTACAAAATCACGAGGTATTTATTAATTTATTTGACACTGGGATTTATAAAGACCTTTTAAGATTTCGTGAGATAAAACTTTATACGAAATCTCACTTTAAATCCTACCTCTAAACATAAAATTTTATAGAATTCTTCCAAAATATAAAAATCCTAAAAAGTCTCAAATCTTAAAATGTCACTTACAATCACATTTGAATACACCCCCTAAAATTTTTAGATTTTAGAAAAATTCTATGAAATCTAAATCTTTTTTTTTTTAGAAATCCCACCAAATCTTAAAAAGTCTTAACAAATCATTATGTCAAATAAATTATTTATCTCATGATTTTATAACACTTTTTAAAATTAAATTCGAATGCCCCACTATTTTTAAAAGTCTTAACAAATCTAAATTGAATACATCAGGAGTTAAAAATTCCTTAGAAATTCTAATTGAATATACCTTCAAATAGTGTTAGAATTTCTATACTATTATAAAAGTGTAAATGAATCTGTAAAAATATCAATAGCCTAAAATAACCTTATTATGCCATATTTATAATGGCAACTTCGTAATTTTAATACATGTATTTGATAGATTAACTAATATATAATAATTTAAATACCTAACCAAGGTTAGGCCGCGTAGCTATCCGCATAAAATCTGGCAAAAGCATGCGGTCATGTACTCACGGAAATGCCCCATTAATTTTTTATTTTTTTTTAATGATTGCATTTTAATGGTTTGGATTTTTTGTGCCTTTTGTAAGAAAATTGGTCATGTACATAAAAATCAAAGCCATTCTTGGACAAGAATGGAAGAAATTAAGAGGATAGCTGTAAAAAAAAAAAAAAAAAAAAAAAAAA